ACACTTAGAGATAGAACATATGGTCAATAAAAAAATGCAACCCATCTATACAACTTTCGAATATTTCTGTGGAGTCTTTGGGAAAGACAGCTAACAGAGAAGATGTAGTAATGGAGACAAAGGAAATTAAAGCAGGGTTTGGCCATAAGGGAAAGATAGCCAGCCCAAAATATCACCCTTAACTCTTAACCTCTGGAGACAATAAATCTGAGCGAGTAAGAGTAAGTGAGGAAAGCTCTTTAAGAGTAGATTTGCTGTTGTTGTTGTTCTATTCTGTTATATACCATTCAGATTTAATGGCAAGACAAATGGATTTCTGGGGCATTATATGTCCTTAGTCTGCCTTAACTTTTTGAATCTAATAGTTGAAAATAAAGTATCAACATACAATTGCTATTTAGCCATTCATTCTTGCACTAAATATAATTTTACTGAATGTTTACCACATGCCAAACAGCATGCCAGCCGCTTGAAAGACAAAGCAAGTGAGGCATGGAACCCATTCTCCAGGCCCTCACAGTCTAATAGAATCAGACAGAAATCAGTGCAACAAATTGTCCTAAGCGGCTCCCACTGTGGGTGTGCCAAGAAGGAAGCAGGAGAGGCCACAAAGCTTTATAGAGAAGGCATATTGTGCTGAGCCGCAGGATGAATGTGCACCCAGGGGCTAGGGAGGGAGGGCTCCTGAGTCAGAGGCTGTAGCAGTGGGAACAGAGAGGAAAGCAGCAAGGGTCTGGGTCTGTGGCCTGGCCATGGGATTCAGGTGACAGCCACCCTTACTGCCTGTCCAGAGAAGAGAAGGGAAGGAGGAACGTCCGTGAAACAGGTGAACAAGGAAAAACCCCCAAATGGTAGCTCTCGTCTGTAGAAGGGGAAACAGGGACATACATGTATCTAGCTTAGAACTCAGATTATTTTTGGTATCTGTTCATTTTCTTCTGGAAAACAAGGTGTATTTGCCAGAGGCGTGTTGGTGTCTCTGCCTTTCGCTGACAGAGAGAAATGGTAAGCCATGTTCTCCCCAGTCACTCCCTGATAGGAAGGTTAGATATTAAAGGAGAAAATGTGACCTCCTTCTGATTCATAGACTTCCAGTCAATGCAATGTTGCTAAAAGAGAATTTTCAAAATAAGTGGAATGACCATGAAATATGTTTATTTTTCGATTGCAAGTTTGTGTGATTATATATGTGTATGTGTACATATATGTGTATATTTATATATATATCTACATTTATTCTCATGTACGTTACATGAAATAGAGTTTATGGGTGTAATTTACAAATGCATGATTTTACCATTTATCTGTTAACAATGACACTTGACTGAATAGGTATCCTGAGTATGTAAAATAACATAATTGATTTAAGAGCATCGACCCTTTTGCAGCTTTAACATAGTTTGATAGCAAATAAAACCATGATCAAAAAACAAGTTCTGAAAAAAACTTTGTGAATTTTTTTAGGCACTCAAATTCAGAGGGGAATTTCTTTTCTTCTTTTTTTGTAGAACTTAGACTGTTAAAAGGCAAATCTTTGTTTAAATATAGACTAAAATCCCCCATTTAATATTTGCCTGCTTTGTTTTGTCCCATGCAGGTATCCCTGCGAACTGCTGACAGAATCAGATTACTTCCTAACTTCCGAATTCACTTGACTTTCTTGTTGGGGGAGCGGGATGTTGAGCCCACCAATCTGTCTCCGTGTGTGCTGCGAGAGTAACGAAGATACTGCTGTCATTTAGATTTGTCTCCCAAATCATGACTGGCCAGATCCAAATCTTGCTGTAGCACTGATCATAAATCGTGTCCTCCATGCATTCAAAGGGGGAAATGAACATTCTTTTCGGTTCTCAGCCACTTCCTTTTCAAATCCCTGGAAGACCAAGAGAGGCTGCAGACAGTGGAAATAAGCAACAACGACTTCCATGAGCATCTCGCCTTCCTTTGGTCAATATCCCGCAGTATTAATTGAGCAACCACTATGATGCAAACTGTTCCAGGTGCGAAAAACTGGTTTTGTGCTTTAACTTGTTGGTTCTCGTAGAAAGAACTGGGATTGGGATGCAACCCTCGCTCCTCAGCCCAGTGGGGAGGACGATTCAGGAGGGGGAGCCTGACCATTCCCATACTTCCCACAGCATCCAGTCAGGCCTCCTGCTCTGAGGCAGCGAGAAAACTCCCTGCACACACCTGAAGGCACACCTAGCCTCCGTCTGCAACTCTGCCTACCGCCCACGGCCTTCCCTCCTATCCCGGTGTTTCTACCACAACAGTTCAGATACATCTGCACCAGATCTCTTACAGCTTCAAGCTCCAAACAAAGGAAAAGGCGCTCAGGAAGTAGTCTGCAGGATGGGTCAGCTGCCACTCTGGTCATCTGAGGCTGTTGACGGATCCTAAGTGACGAATGTATGCGACTCATGCAGCCAAAAGGCTGGAGGGGCAGGGAGGGAGGCAGAAGGTGATGGAAGATGGGACTGGGGGGCGGGGGGGCTATAAGTCAGTTGCATTCACTCAACCATTAACTCACCAACTATTTGTTGGATACCCTTACAACTGTTCAGCACCATCAAATCACAGAGGATACATGCTGAACAAGACAGATGTGATCGGCAATACCTCTCATGCAGCATTTTAAAAGCGAAAAGAATTCAGGGCAAGCACATTTCTCAGTCTTGGGGAGTCATGGAAGGCTTCAAGGAGGGGACAGCTAAAGCATGAAGGATGAAAAGATGTAGATAGATGTAGGGCCATCGGGGGCGGAGCTGGGAGCGGCCACTGGGGCGCACGCAAGGGGAATGGTGAGAGCGAGTGTGCCACAAGGAGGACACTGGCCAGTCTCAGGCCAGAGCATCTGACCCTCCTGAAGGTGACTCCAAATCCCTAGATATTGGGTTGAGCCATAGGAAACCACCATCTTTCCAGATCAACGTGATCTAATATCAATGATTTCACACGGCTCAACCGAATACTGCCCTGGATAACAACCCTTGACCATTTCCGGTCTCAATTAGTTTCTCCACAGGAAAAAACACAGTGGCGTTGGGAAACATGACAGAACCAGCACAAGTGAGTAGGACGGTGGTGGGGTGACGGTGGCAGGGTGATGATGCTGAAGGACACACAGAGGCCACATGGAAAATGCAAGGAGCCACAGTAAGATGTTTGGGCTTTATCCTTAGGATGATGGAGATGACCAAATTTGTATTTTAAGGTGCTCACTCAAGACCACCTGGAGAGTAGAGTGGGAAGGGCGACAAGAGACGGAAAAACATAAAAAGCAGCTATTACGGTGGTTCAGCGAGAGAAGACAGACCCACATGAGCAGAGGAAGTTTGGGCAGGCTCGAGGGCATACAAGAGGCCAGCCTGGCAGGACTGCGGGACCCGGAGCGGGAGGCGAGGGCCCGGGGAGGGAGTGTAGGTGTCACACAGGCCAGGTGCAAGGGCCCGTCCAGCCGGGTGATGGACCGTCCTCCGGGCTGGACACACAGCAGGAGGACCTGGTGTGGGGGGGAAAGGACGAGTCCTGGGCGTGACTGCTCACTCGGTTCCAATGAAGAGGAGAGCGAAGATCAGAAGCAGCAGGAAGCGAAGGGAACGAATATTTGCTGACTGCCCACTAGGTGTGGGCTTTATCTCTGCTATTTAATTAAATGCACACCCCGACTCAAGAAGGCAGGTACCCCTCCTTCAGCTTTATCGCTGGGAGGCTGACGGCAAATGTTCACTGGAGGTTAGGCAGTTGGATAAGCTGCAGAGCCACATTCTCAATGGGCGTCTCTCCACCAACCCCTAAGCTCCTTCAACTCAGACCTGCCGACCAGTAACCCCAGTGTGTGCGGTGTGGTGTATGCTGTGTGTGGTGCTTGTGGCTAAGAATGTTAGCTGGATAAGGTCAACAGGGATATGCTGAAATCTGCCCGAGTACACAGAAGAGAAGGAGAGGATGGACTCAGAGCAGAGCACCTGATCCAGATGAGTATCCTACTTTCTAAGGAGGGGAGACATTTCCTTTAAGGATGCTCATATCTGCGTGCCCTTAGCCCACACTCTCTACTGACCACCTTTGTCACAGTTCCTCCCTGTGTCTAGGGTGCCAGAGGCAGGGGAAACAGCAGTCAATGGTTGGAAGGACTTGCTTTGCAAGCTTTAGAACAAATCCCATAGTACCTTCCCTGCCCCGCAGAGCAGAACTCAGCAAAACAGCATCTCTCAGTATCTCTTAAAGGACAAGCATTTTAGCCAATGGCGTTATCTGAGCCCATAAAGGTTTAAGGCATAGCCTATTTAAAGAGTTATTTAACAATTCCAAAAGAGTAGCAAAACAGTCCATAAAGCTAAATGACTCCCAGGGAAGAAAGTACACATTACATTCTCATACTTGTTTCCTTAATTAGGAACAGATCCTGGTGGCTGGGATTTATTTTCATGAGCACACATCCACAAAAATGAGAAACATCTTGACATGCTGCAACATCCGTAATGTTTCTCAAATCTGAATTCCTAATTGGGTTAAAAAAAAAAAAAAGCAACCGCGAATTTCCACGCTGGTTTTGATTCAGGATTCAAAACAGAACCCAAGATGTGCATTTTTTTTTAATATTGTTCCAAAACATGTATAAGCTGGGTCAAAATCCATAAGACCCACTTCAGAAATTAAAAAGAAAAAAAAACAGACCAAGGCACAAATTCGGAATTTAACATGGCAAAGAAGATTCATCTTATGGAACATGAAAACTAATTTGTGATCTCCCCCAGACACTTTTAAACATCTTCACCTATTTACCTTTAATAAAGAGGAGAAAAGGACTGGGGGATGTTTATATGGCACCTGCTTGAATCCTGTTACAAAATTCAAAGGATTCCTCTTTGTGTGTTTTTCTTTGTTCACTTATTACAGAAACTGGTGAGCCTTTCTCTTTGCTTTCACTAAATTCTGTCACAGTCAAGAACCCGGGCGCACCGTGGAGTCTGTAACGAAGACATTCTTATCCTTACCTATGCAGCTTATCCTCAAGCATTTCCATGTACTTCAGAGCATTTTCCTTCACACCCATTTCTGCAAAACAAAAATCCAAAGTTGAGGCAATTGTACTCAAAGATTGAACAAAACCCAGAAGTGCTCAACTAAAAGCCCAAAACCAAAGGATCGCAGTCAGGCCGATAGTAATGATCGCCTCCTAGGTTTGGAAAGCACGCGAATCCACTGGGGTGGCCACCTGGAGCCAGGTGCTGGAAATGCTGAGAAACACATGGAAACCTGATCCCGACAGAACTGGAGCTCAGTTGCCATCAATGGCTCAGCTTCCAAAGCTGAGAGGTCAGCGGCCCCTAGAGATAAACTCAGAGCCTCGTAATCACCATATGTTGGAGGAATAGATGACTGATCCCCATGGATCAAAGAGGCACTTTACTCATAAAAAGAGATTTGGTCTTTCGTAAGTGATGAAAATGTTGATTTTTTTTCTGTCCTCTTAATACGTTAAAAAAAATCAAAATGTCGGGCGCCTGGGTGGCTCAGTCGGTTAAGCGTCTGCCTTCGGCGCAGGTCATGATCCCAGGGTCCGAGGGGAGCCTGCTTCTCCCTCTGCCTCTGCCTCTCTCTCTCTCTGTCTCTCTGTCTCTCATGAATAAATAAATAAAATCTTTTTAAAAAAATCAAAATGTTGATTTGACATTGTCACTTTTTTAAAATAGAGGGAATAAAAGGGACAACTCATGCTGTTTTACTATAGAAATAAACATTTTTATATTAAAGAAAGAGAGAGATTTGGTGCATTCGGGACAAGTCCTGATCCACCTTCTCAAGGTGATCACTGGCAGAAATGGGAATATGAAGTGCCCCGAAGAGCAGGCGGCAGCAGAGAAGTCCCCATCAGATGGTAGCTGTAATGAGAGATGTTGTCACCATTGCTATCACGACTATTATTATCGCTATAAAAACACGAATAAACCCCATGGAGTTTATTCGTGTTTTTATCCCAATCTGTCTTGTCAAAGGTAATTCACGCATTTACACTCTAGAGTTGGAGTGTGTGGAAAGCAGAAGCCAAGCTGCCTCTCTGTCCTGAGCCTCTGCCGAGGGGGCTCTCAGGACCCTATTTTATCACCACGTGCATGTTAGGTGAAGGACAGGGGGGTATATTTGGAACTGGAAAAAGGAGCTTGAAATTCCTCGTAGAGATTTATACAGAAATTAAAACAGAAGTTCTGGTTGATCAGTTCATAATGGGTAAAAACAGGAATGTACCCAGGGAAAGCAACTCTTTCAGTTGGTCTCTTAATCTTATTGATTTATGCCAGCCTCATTTACAAGTGAAGTTGTGCTGAGTTTTTTTCTCCAAATAAATTAAATGTTTATTTTTAGCACCTACTGAGCGTTGGGTACTGCGCTAGCATGAGGAGTAAGATGTGGAGAGATGGCTCCGTGAAGCGGAGATCTGTTCCCTGGTTCATCCGGCACAAGGACTAAAATTCAGAATGTCTCAACCGGAAGTGCCCTCTTTCACATCCTGTACGTATTTATGTGCCACATTCCGTTCTAAGCCCTTGGGATAAACCCGTGAAAAGAAGATTCCTGCCCAAATGGCCAACAGACACATGAAAAAGTGCTCAAAATCACTCGGCATCAGGGAAATCCAAACCAAATCTCAGTGAGATGCCACCTCACACCAGTCAGAATGGCTAAAATTAACAAGTCAGGAATCGACAGATGTTGGCGAGGATGCGGAGAAAGGGGAACCCTCCTACACACTGTTGGTGGGAATGCAAACTGGTGCGGCCACTCTGGAAAACAGTATGGAGGTTCCTCAAAAAGTTGAAAATAGAGCTACCCTACAACCCAGCATTGCACTACTGGGTATTTACCCCAAAGATAAATGTAGTGATCTCAAGGAGTACATGCACCCCAATGTTTATAGCAGCAATGTCCACAATAGCCAAACTATGGAAAGAGCCAAGATGTCCATCAACGGATGAATGGATAAAGAAGATGTGGTATATATATATATACAATGGAATATTATGCCGCCATCAAAAAAAAAAACCCCCGAAATCTTGCCATTTGTAACAACATGGATGGAACTAGAGGGTATTATGCTAAGCGAAATAAATCAATCAGAGAAAGGCAAGTATCATATGATCTCACTGATATGAGGAATTCTTAATCTCAGGAAACAAACTGAGGGTTGCTGGAGTGGTGGGGGGTGAGAGGGATGGAGTGGCTGGGTGATAGACATTGGGGAGGGTATGTGCTATGGTGAGCGCTGTGAATTGTGTAAGACTGTTGAATCACAGACCTGTACCTCTGAAACAAATAATACATTATATGTTAAAAAAAAAAAAAAAAGAAGATAGTGGGAAGGGAGAAATGAAGGGGGGGGAATTGGAGGGGGAGATGAACCATGAGAGACTATGGACTCTGAGAAACAAACTGAGGGTTCTAGAGGGGAGGGGGGTAAGGGATGGGTTAGCCTGGTGATGGGTATTAAAGAGGGCACATACTGAATGGAGCACTAGGTGTTATATGCAAACAATGAATCATGGAACACTGCATCAAAAACTCATGATGTAACGTATAAAGACTAACATAACATAATGAAATAAAATTCTAAAAAAACAAACAAACAAAGAAAAAAAGATTCCTGCCTACGTCATGCTTCATTCTGGTAGGGACAGGTAATAAAGAATAAACCTAAGAGTTCCATAGAGCACTAGAAGGTTGTAAGTACTACAAAGCAAGAGAAGGGGATCAGAATGGGGCTGTAGAGTGGTCAGGCATCATTCGGAAGGTGACATTTGAGTAAAAGCATGAGGAGGGTGGGGGAAGCACATGAGCAGCCATCCTGGGAAGAGCAGAGCAGGTGGAAGGACCAACCAGTCTAAAGGTCCTAGGGCAGGAGCACACCTGACCACTCCAGCAACATCTGGAGCAGATGTTTTCTGGGGAAAGAGATGAAGGCAGAGAAGCAGCCCAGCTCCAATCATGCAGGCCACTGTGGCAAACTGTATTTCCAAAACATGGCCACAGTAATATTCTGGGTCCCACACACTATTCCAGAACTTGGCCATTCTCCATCAAGCAGTGAAATCTATTTCCCACCTCTTCAATCTAAATAGGCTATGACATTACAACTAATAGAGAATGACAGAGAGGATGCTCTTTAGCCTCGGAGGCTGGGGTCCAGCTTCTGCCTGGCTCTTTCTACCGGGAACCCAGCCACCATGTTGTAAGGAAGCCCAAGCCACAGGGAGAAGTCATGCGTAAGTGTTCTGGCTGAAGGCACAGGTGAAGCTCTCAGCCAACAGCCAGATATGGGAGTGAGCAAGCTTTCAGAGGACTTGAACCATAGAGTCTGAGGGACCCAGACATCATGAAACAGAGACAAGCCACCTCTGTTGCTCTGGGTCTAAATGCCTGACTCACAGAATTTGTGCACACAATAAATGGCTGTAAGTCATTGGGTTTGGGAATGATTTGTTATATAGCTGTAGTTACTAGAAAGCCATGTCAGGATTTTTAGTGCTCTGAAAGAAAAGGGAAAACACTGGAGAAAAAAAGGCGACAAATTGGCTCATGGCTGCTATGGTGAGAATAGACTCTAGGAAGACATGGGATAAGCAGAGAGAAACAGGAAGGTTAGAGCGAAAATCCAGGATGAGGTAGTGGGGACTGAGACCATGGTGACACAGGAGTGGGTGATAAGAGGCGGATTTTAGATATATTTTAAAGATAGAGACAGCAGAAGTTCCTGATGGATTGAATTCAGGTTTATGAAAAAGAGACCCATCAAGAATGACTACAGGGTTTTTGCCCTGAGCCACTGGAAAATAGAGTTGCCATCAGCGGAGATGGGAAGAATGTAGGTGAAACCAGTTTGGGGAGACGAGAAAGAGTTCAATCTTAGACTGGAATTTGCTAAGAGAGTAGAACTGAAATGTTCTCACCAAAAAAAAAAAAAAAAAGGCAAATATATGTGGTGATGGATGTGTTAATTAACCGGATGGACAGGAAGGTGGTTCTTTCACAATGCACACATGTATCAAATCATCACGTTGTATACTTTAAATACCTCACAATTTTATTTGTCAGTTATACCTCCATAAGCTGGAAAAAATAAAAGCAGTTGAGAAGCTTAAAAAGAGTCCAAGTTGGGATCTGATAACTTGGAGTTTATGAGCCACCCAGTGGGGATGTCAAGGACAAAGTTGGATATGTGAGTCAAGAAAAGGTCTGGCATGCAGATGGACAGTTGGAAGACACTGGCGTGTGGAACAACGAGACTAGATGATATCACTCAGGGAGTGAGAGTAACTTAAGAAACCCGTCCGTGGTGATCGTATGTCACTACGATTCTATTGTGATGTTATCTTTCATCCAAAGGACAAAAATGCACAGCACCTTCCTTGAAGGCAAGAAAGCCATAACCTTATGTTTAAAACTAATCCAGATATATTCCATATTAACGATTTTGTTCAGAAATCACTACATACTTGGCTCATCTAAGCATCTGAGGCTCCAGGTAGTGACATGCTGGCCCCACACAAGGGCATCCAGGCAGTTTCCCATGCTTTTCTGCTTGCCTGGAGGCTGCCATCTGACACGGATGCTGCACTAAAATCCTGCCTTCACTGGATCCTGACCCATCTCCCAGCCAGGAAGCCTAAAATGCCTTGCACGCATATGAACTAGGTTGACTCACAACCTTCCAGAGAAGCCAGGACTACAGATAGGGAGTTTACGTTTTTATCTTCCTAAATGATATATGCCCAAGTTGGGATGCCTGAGTGGCTCAGTTGGTTGATTGTCTGACTCTTGATTTCAGCTCAGGTCATGATCACAGGGTTATGAGATCGAGCCCCACTCCAGGCTCCGCACTGAGCATGGAGCCTGCTTAAAATTCTCCCTCTCCTTCTGCCACCACCCGCCTCCCCCTCTCTAAAGAAAAAAAGAAATGCCCAAGATGCACTGAGAACAGAACTTATTTTTTCTTCCCTCTTCATCGTCCCTCTGCTTCATTCCTTTCCTAACCTGGTCTTAGAGTGGACACCAAAAGAACA